TGCTCCCTTTAATCTTAAATTGTATATTTCAGTGCCTACTCAGGATGCTATGTGCTTTAATTTGTGCTTCAAACCAGCAAGTTAACAAATGCTCTATATTCCTTTTGCTCAGTGAATGAATTATCATTTCTCTATTATTTTTGCTGGTTAGTATTATCTATATCCAGCTGCTCAGGAATTGAAAACACAGACACAATGTAACCTTCTAAGGCATCTGGAAATTAGAACTGCCCAGATTGAAAATCATCCCCTTGTTTGTAATATGGAAGACAGTATCAGCCACAACAAGCAGACACAGAAACGGGAGGTCAGCTTTCTACTGACTGAGCATGCTCCCCTGAAATATTGCATGCTTTGGCTTTTTCACAGGTTGGCAGTACTTTCTGTCTGGACTGTATATAAAGATAAAAGAATGAGGAATGGAGATGTCACTCCTGATTAATTTAATGACATTGGTGTTTTATTATTTAGTTAAAAATGCATTCAGAAAGCAGACCCTCTGCAGACTTAGTACAAATCTGTGATGCGTATACTCAGACTGGTAAATCCTTGCATCCCTCAGTCACTGCTCTCCCAGCTATTTAATGACATAGATAGGAATGCTGATTTACCTCCACACACTCCAGCAAATAATCTTCCAGCGATGATCATCTCAAAGGATCCACACAGCTGGCTGAATCCCATCAGAGCTGCACTCAGCAGGGAAGGGATATCCGCAAAAAGCATGGCCTTCTTCCTGGAATTCATTTAAATTCATATGAGCATAAATAGTGTCCCTGTGTCATATGCAGCCTTACAGAAGTTGTATAAAGTGTACCAAGTTGAAGACTCTATGCTGGCTTTTGAGATTAGCTGCAGTGAAGTAAATGGGAAATGGAATGGGAAAACTTTGTTGTGGACCAATAAGTTAGTTTGATGCCTCTAGTGGAGCCAGTATCTGCACTAAGGAACAAGCTTTGTTAGAGATTGTCTGTGAAATTCACTTTAAAATGCATTTACTCCTCATGTGACTTCTCTGGAATGGATTTGCTTTGGAATTTATACGGGAGAGGGTACAATTTTCTTTGTGGTCATTGGCAGATTTTGCCATTCTGTTTCTTCATCTGAAGCAGCTCTGGGCTGCTCACACTTGTGCCACTTCACAATCAGTGTTTCTCCCATGACAGTTGTGGCTGTAAACAGAAAGACTAATGTAATCATTATTCCTACCTTCCAAATCTAACAGACAAATATCCGGCAGACAAGGACCCCAGAAGCCCACCAATGCTGTAAATGGACACAATGAAGGACCACATCAAAGTAATCATCTCTTCACTGGGAGAAGAGCCATATCTCCTCAGACAGGTTTCACGAATGAAACTTTTGATGTACTTTAATATAAGAACAGAAAACAATGGAGTCAGTCAACATGCTTTTGCATAACTGCACCACTTTTTTTACTTCTCTTACCTACTTACTGCTCTTCTTGATCAATTTATATTGCCAGCTTACTTGTAATCTTAGCCCCAGTGAAATCTAAGGGAATTCTGCCACTAACATCCCATGTGTTAATGTTTTAGCAACAGGGTGCAATGAATAAATATATCAATTTATCAACTGTGAACGCCACTAAGATAGTGGTCTTGGCACCATTCAGGATGAAAAATACCTCCCCTAATTTTACTTTTCCAGCTGCAGATATTAGAGCTGACCTCAGTTATAGAGCTACAGTCCGTCCCTGTCCTTTTTCACCTTACAGGCAGTCACATAAACTTAGTGTGTGTGGCCAAGCAAATGGTACAAAGGACAACCTGAGCACTGGAAAGAGGAGAATGTCCTGTGAACAGACCAGTTCAGTAAGGGGAATATGGCTGACTATAAGTATCACTAATCCTTCTCTTTCTCAGTTCTGTCACACCAGACAGATGTGAAAACCCCATGAAACACAAGAGCAATAGCAGCCAGTCTTAGAACCAAGAAACCACAGTTAGTTTTGAGAGCAGAAATGAAGAAGTTGTTAGTGCTTGCATATAGAGGCAGGAACACATAACATTGAAATCCATGCTGGTAGCTCAATCCATGAGCTGTCCATGCTTACCTCAGCGGGAGAATTGATAATGGAGATCTGCAGCCCATATTGGAAACCTCCACCAATACCCAGGACAAAAGCCAGGAGGAAGAGACTGCAGCTCATTTTCTGGCAGGAAATAAAAGCAGCAAACAAAGCTGGCACAGCTATTCAGACATGTTCCCACTGTCCTGTTCACCTCTACAACTCCAATAGCCTGAGCAATGCCACACACCTGTGTCCTCTGACACCAAGGAGCCAGTGCAGAGTGCAATAGAAGACCAGAGCTACTAAAGCACAGGACAGTGAGGAATTTGAGGAGAGACAAAGCTTGTAGCTGCCTCCCAGAATCCAGTTACACACTTCAGTGCTTCTGTGTCCAGTTTTGGCTGCCTTAATCTGCACTATCATAGAATAACTTCTAGTGGGAGATGGTGCAATGTGCATGATTTCCATCTACTTGTCCTTCCTCCTCCTCCTTTTCCAATTGTTATCTCACCCAAATGAATATTTTGCTCAGTGACTTGGCTGAGACTAGACAAACATTTGGGGATTGAAGGGCATTCCTGGTTTAATAGTTTATTCATCCTTTCTTAGAACTATATCTGATAGGAGGCTTAGAATACAATACAATAGAATTGTATACCAAATGCATAGAATACAATACAGTTTTGTGATGCATGCATACCCCATCCCTCCCACTCATAACCCTTTCATTGTGGAGGACTTTTTCAGTCTTCCAGCCCTCCTCTATCTATCAAATCATGTATTTTTTTTTTGGCTGCTGTGCTCTGAACAACCTTGGTTTGTTTGAACTCCCTGTTATGTATTGAACATTAAATAGAAATATGCTTTTAAATCCCATTTCCTTTGCTTTTAAAAAGACAATTCCTTGCAAGACATTTGATATCTTTCAGATGTGACCTTGTGCTATTATTTGAACCACACCTGAGTCAGATTTATTTTTCTTTCTGTACTCAATTTATGCAACAGCTCTTTTAGAATAGCAGCAAGGAAAAAATATATACTATTTGGCAAAAGAGAAAGAAGATAACCATATACCAATTTGCATGCAAAGGTAGTCTTTTCTGCTTACAGCCTAGGTCTTCCCTAACACTTTATTTGGTTGCTTTGGAAAAAGTCACTCTATATACAGAGGAAGAGGAGCCTGAGATAATATTTTAACATGTCATTTCATTCTTTCTTGGTGTTTACACTCTATTTAGCTTGTCATGAAGTTCTTGCTATTTGATTTGTCATTATTGAATTGGTTACTGATGAAGCTGCAAATAGTTTCGGCATGCTGGGCATTCACTCCAGGTCACTAGGGAAGAGAAGCTCCAGCAGCAACTAACAGACAACTAGAGCTGCAGGAGATGAGTAAAGAACCATAAAAAAGGCACTGATGGAAGCCAAAGTCCAGGGACTGGCTTAAACTAGAGTGGACTGGCTTGGACTGCCCAAGTCATGAGTTGGGTAATCAGTTATCTCATTTAAAGGAAAAGTTCTGACTGCTACATTGAACCTCAATACAGCAAAGTCTTCTGAAGCCTGAGCTGGGCAAGGCTGACTAAGCCTGTCCATTCAACTCTTGAATTACAGGGTCAGGTAACACTTTAAGAGTAATGGTCATTGCCTAAAATTCAAGTCTGTGTCCCTATAATATATTGCAGATGCTAGGAAAGTTGAATCTCAGTTTTAAATCCTGACTGTAAAATAAATAAACTGCATCTTTACTTTTATCCATAATTCTCAAAGGGCATCTTTATCTGGCAGTCTCCAAGATGGTTCTGTAAAAAGGTTGTTTTTTCAGGTTATTCAAACAGCTTAGGGGGAAATTCCCTCTCCTGGTGAGAGGCTGCATTAGGTGGTTCCCCGGGCTGGGGTGCTTCTTGTCTTTGGTGTCCGAAAGAACCCCAACCCCAGCTGGATTAGAAGTGAGAAGTGGCTTGTGCAGAGGAGCATTGTCTGTAATAACAGTAGTAACTATTTTTCTCAGATGCTGATGGTTTTTAATCAATACAACAGTGCACGGTTCTTTAATCTGTAAACACTAATGTGAACCATGAGTCCCTGCAGAATATATTTCCAGATATATTTTTGCCTAACACTTCACATGGTAAGAAAATTGACCCGAACAAAGTGTCATCTTTTTTTCAGTTGAAGGTGTTTTAATTCAGTAAAAGTTAACCAACTTGTTAAACGCTTCAATTAAAATGTAACCACTGGTTGTCTTTGCTTCGTCAGTCTAAAGACACCTGACTTCGGGCCATAGTCAGAAAAAATGCTTGAAGTTGGAATTAGTGTTTCCTGACACATGTACTTGCAGGACTGGCTCTGGAACTCAGGCAGCCAAGTGAATGTGTATCATCTCTGAATGTTAGGCGTGTTTCATACTGTCACATGCAGCCCCTGTCCTGCCAGGGCTCTGGGGAAAGGCACAGTTCTGACTCATGGGAGTGGGCACAAAGGTGGCCAAGGTGAGGACCTCTGGACACTGGAGGATTTCTCCCGGTTTCAACCAGTTCTTCCCTGCCATGTAGGTCCCAGCAGTGTTTCCCAGGCTTCTCCCTCTGCCCAGGAAGTCTCTTCAGTTCATTCCCTGTGTCTTCTCTACTGCCTTGTTTGCTTTGCTTTGCTTCGCTTCTCTTTTCTGTAATTTTTTCTAATCTTCACCAAAGGAATGACAGAATATTTTGATACCATTGTGACAGTAGCAGCACTTTTTTGCTTTGACTGTGTGTTCTGCTCTTTCTATCTGCCCCTCACTGCTCTCTTCAAACTATAGAAATGAAAAGTATCTCTCTAGTTCCCAGCTCCATGGAGTCCTGCTCTTGTCTGTCTTGTCTCAAAGTCCTGTTATTTCAAAATCTTAGTGTTGTCTGAGAGCAGAGATACCTGCTCTTGGCCGTGTCTGTATATGAATTACTTCTAAAACAGCAGCAACCACAAATGAACAAAAGTTTAGTTTTATTTTTCCTCTATTATAAGCCTTAGGTGGTGAAGAATAGTTCTTGCACAGACTCCTTTTCTGGGAAGTAGCCGTGCTGCTCCACTCATGCCCAGCACAACAGTCACACACTCCAGAAGCGTTTACAGTCCTGTCATTCAAAAATGCTGTATTTTTAAAACATGCAGTTTAAAAATATACTGAAAGAAACTTTAGCTACTTATTTTGGAAATATATGTGGGCTTCTCTGCTGCAGCCATCAGCACTGCTGTGATTGTCATACAAACAAAGCCAAAAGAAAAGAGATGGCTTGATTAGGACTTTGAGAAGAAACAGAAAGAAAGAAGCTTCACCAGTCAAACCAATGCCTGTGAAATGGTTCCCTTTTCCATGTAAGCTAGAGAAGACATCAAGGCAGCACAAACAGCAGTGACAGGTTCGCTTCTTTCTGTAGAATAGAAAGGCACTCCCTGGCAGTGGGAAATTGTGTATCCTCATGAATCCTAGAGATGGGATCTACTGAAGACAGAGCGTATTGCATTGCCAGCAACAACAGCAAAGCTGCTGCTTCACAAAGTATCTGGCCTTTAGGACTCATCCTGGTACTTTAACATTCTTTCATCCTGCAGAGTGCAGTTTGTGAGGGGCCTGACAGATTTCCGACTTTTCAAAATAGATTATTGTTTTCTAAATGCCTCTTTGTCCCTACTCAGGTTTTACTACACTTGAACAGAAATACGAACTCATTCTTCATCGCCGAGTCTTACAGGCATCGGTAGGGATGTGGTGCTGCATCAGTTGCAGCCACTAGGTGGCAGGAGAAGTACAACATTTCCTGTATTAGGCTCTGACTCCAACATCCCAGCAGTTCGCTGCTTGTGGTATCTGGCAGGGATCAGAGGATTCCTTTTAGCAGCTTTCCAAATGATAACTGTATGTAACTTGTACAAGTTAACAGCTGCTGACGCACTGTTTGGGAAGCATGTATCAACAACAGTAATACACTGGAAAAGGACAGCTCTAGTTTCTTCCTGCTGCCTATTCTGAATAAGCTTTGGATAGATGTCTTCCAGGAATAAAACCACATTTTCTGAATTAGGCAAGAGCTTTCTCCTTTATCCTAGCATCTTATAAGAGGCACTGCCTAGTGTGAGTCTTTGTCCTCTCAGGTGATGGCGTTCAGAAGTTTCAGGCTGTGGCTCCTGGGTGGAGTGTCCCTGGTTGTGCTAGTCACTGAGCTGTGTCATGGGAGCCTTTGAGCTAGATGGGGATTATTCCATTTCTAGCTCCTTAGGCAGAGGCCAACATGTCAAAGCATGTATCTAGTTGGATAAGAGGCTAGGGAATGCAGCTCACACCTGGGCCTGAGTACCATGAATCTGCTTCATCTGTCTCATTTCTGTTGCAGCCAAACATAAAAATGTATCTGTCTGCAATGACCTGGTCAAGAACTGCCTGCTTAGACCATTGCATTGTCTTATTTTTCCCAAATAAATATGTGCACACTCTTCTATTTAACAGGTGAAAGCAGTATTCATCACAGCCCAAAGGTAATCCTAGAGGCTCTGGACACCAATGCACAAGGGCAGATGCAGTTGGGATGTGTTTGTATCTCCCGTTGGGGCTCTCACTTGGCTTGCGTCAAGCTTCTCCTTATTTCACCTCTGCCTTCCCTGAATTGTGCAGAGATACGTTCTCTCTCTTCAAAACCCATTCCCAGTGCTTTTATGTGGGGGTTAAACCAGAGAGCTTGCAATCTGTGCAATGAAGTAAAGCAACCGCCTGTGGCAGTCTCAGGTCAGAGAAGGGAAATAGCAGGTGAGCTTACGGCAGCAACAAGAGATGAGTGAAGTCCTGCAGGGAGGTAGTGAGGTGCCTTGGACTGTGGCACAGGCTGCTCACAAGGCTCTCTCTTCCAGAAGGGGCATAAATTGGCTGTTGCTGTGACTACATCTGTGTCTGCAGCTGAGCTGGGAGCCCCTGGAGTTGTCCTCTGTGTTTTCTAGTAACAGCTGCCTTGATGAGGACTGGATGGATGGATTTTTTTCTCATACATAACATCTGTATGACTTGAGTTTTTGTGCTGACAGGTGTTCACAGTGGTTGTGTTTCTAACTGACTTCCTCTGCAACTTAAAAAACCAGCATTCCCGGTGTTCAGCCTTAGGGTGAGTTCTCACAGTTTCAGAGTGGCAGTTGGTGTGGATGAGAAATCTTCAGTCTCGAGGTCTGTCACCAGGGTATAACCACAACACTGCAGTTACTCAAACTGCTGGCTTTGGAAACAGTCACATGAACACAGCAGGTTTCCAGCACTACTGTGGGAACCAACCATCCTCTTCCCTCAGATACTTTTTCACTGAACTCTAGTCTGTCATAATCAAGGTGGAATATGATGCCATGAGCATGGAGAGTAGTTATTTGGAGAATGTGATGGCAGTCTCTGCCTGTAATTCTCTGTCTGCAGTAATAAATAATAATCCCACTATTAGGAAGAACCATCAATGTGGTTCTATGTGCCATGTACTGAGAGGTGCCTATGTTTTAGAGTGTTTTTATCCCAGGATTGTCTGGACCAACTGTAATTGCACTGCAAGAGGAGAAGAGGCTTGAATCTACAGGATGAATTCTCCCTACAAATGCTACACTGTCAATCACAGAAGAGATCTGGAGCTGCTCCCTGGCTGGTTGTTGGCCGTCTCCCAAGCTCTGGTCTGGCTATTTCTGTAAACCCTTATCTCTTTCCTGTAAAGGCCATCACAGTGAAATACGAAATACCTGTCTGCTTGTCCTGACTCTTGCAGGATTCACTCAAATATGGAAGACAAATAGCACAAACAAACAAGCATCTTTCTCAAGAAACATCCTGCAGGTCTGCTGTTTTTATGGTGAAAGCAATGTTTATGGAACTTAGCTGTTAAAAGGGATTTTCTTTGTAGGAAAGGAGTGCCCGGCTGTGACACCATTATTCTCAGTTCCAGCAGTTCACTAACGGTCCTTATTAAAAAAAAAAAAACAAGATTTATCTAAGTTCAAGACACTGTATAAGAACTTCAGGAAATGGGCTTCATTGCAGAAGTTTCTCAGGGCAGGGACCCAATGCTGACAGAGCTTCTGCTACCACACAGACTCACTGGATGCCTTCCAGACCAGAGGAGATACGTGGGAGCTGAGTCCTCTGAGGACACAAGGACATATACAGCCTAGGGAACTAGCTGCTTTTTCTTGCCAGGATTTTTGGGTGTCAGAAGAACAGCTCAATGTTCTGTGCATTGGATCAGTAGTGTGCATTTACATCCTCCTGATAAGCAATAGAGCTTCTCTGGGAAAACTGAATACTAAAGATAATTGAAATACACTTTTCTCCATTTTCTCAGCCCATTGTGAGCTGTAGGTCATGTGTGGCTGAACTATTCCCTTTCCTCCCTTCTTTCTATCAGACACTGATGAAAGCAGTTAGTTGAAACTGGGTGACCTGAAGGCCAGAGAGCACAAACTGCTTAGCTGAACAAAATCTCTGCTCTTGCATGCAGGAGAAGAGTGTTTACACTCTGCCAAATGGCAGTAAATGTCACTGAATGTTCCTGTCAGAGAAGAGGAAATTATGTGCAGCAGTGTGAGAGTGTCAGACTCATCCTGATTTCTTATTTAATGCTTACTTCAAATAGAGCTTTCAATTAGACCTGTCCCCTGGCCTATTGAGAGGCACCTGAGTCCTGCCTCTGATGAAAGCCAAAGTACAAATACCGTTTCTGACTCCTTGTAGGGGCTTTCAGGAGCTGACAGCATGTTCAGTTGTATGTGCTGCTGTTGTGAGCTGAACATAGACCTCTTTTTATAATAAACAAGCATTGTTTCTAGGTTCTTTTGTTGATTTGGCCACAGCACTTATGAAATGGATGTTACAAAATGAAGGTCCTTGAAGGATAGTCCCCACTGGCAGCTGTGGGAGGTGACCTATGGTGCAAATGACAGATCATAAGGCAGAAGAATTTAACAAGAATGATTAAGCACTGGGGAAAAAAAACACAAAATCTATGCAGGGACAGACATTTTCTTGCTTGATGTCTTCAACTCATGATCAGAAGCTCGTTTGGAAGAGGTGCTTTATTTGGATATGTGATCAGGCTCTGCTCAAGAAGATTTAGGCAAGATCTTCTTATGATATGCCAGATACCAAGCTGTATTTTTGAACTAAAAAACACAGGAAATAAAAATAACATAAACTTTGATTTACAGCAAACCCTGTGCAAACCCCATGTCCATGAAGGAATGAACTCTAAGTGCTGTCTTTAGTTTCTTGTTAACAAACAAACAAATAACACCCACCACCCAACCCCCCAGTCCTGTGTGATTCACTTTCTCCTGACTTTAGCCATCACACTGTAGAGGTAGCTGATCTGGGACAGGAAATCCTTCAATGAAGGAGAAAGAACTTATATATGGCCATTAAACATCACAAAGTAAACATTTCAAGTTATGATTACACAGCTTATCTATGCACAACAGGCTCATGGAGCCTTGCTTCCAAAGCTGGGGCAGAAACGCCTAGTGACTACTCTGAGGTGGATCTGGAGCTTTTGACACCTGTTGTCCATACCACTGAGGACTGAGTCCGAGAGCTGAAAGAACCTTCCAGAAAGGTCCCTCTGGCTGTTAGGGCTCATTTGCAGGGAAGCTCAGTGATGCTCTTTCTGAATCTGTTCCTAGTGCCAGTGTGCCAGGCATGCAGCAACGTCTTCTACACCAGAGCTGAGATGTCAGGAGTGGCATAGTGTGGGGAGCACTAGGGTGGGTGAGACCTCATACAGAACTTGCATAGTTTCGTATCTTGGTGCAGGGAGTCTGAGAGTGGGCAAGGGGCGAGAGGATGTCTTTGTTTTCAAATGAATAGAAGAACTGGGGCTCTACTGCACAGGTATGGAGTATTGCTCCAGCCAAGGTGGCCAGGGAATAAACACTTTCCATGGAGTGTGCTATAGCCCAGCTGGAGGAGGTGCCTGTGTGTCTTTAGCCCAGGTGTGACCTGTCACAGTAGGCAGGACACGTTTGCAAAAGGTCATAAAGCAAAAAGCCAACGGTGTTAAAGAGCAGAGGGCACGTGTCACCGGCCGGACACTCATCGAGCTCGTGGCTGGGGCTGAGTGAGCACCCCTGGAGAGGGCGCCAGTGCTTTTTAAGGTCTATGCTGCCAGGGCTCAGCTACTTTCATCCTGTGACTCCGGAGAGTGCTGCGATGGGCAAAATGAGAGCTGCTGCCTTCAAAGCAAGCATCTGTTTGTTCTTGAAACAATCAGTGACAGCAGTTAGAGCTTGAACTCGTTACCGAGCCCAAAACAATTACGATAAAAACAAGTTCCAGATGGGTTCAAACAGAGTTGTTTTTGTCTTTACTAAATCAGAATGGATTCTATGTCTTCAAGTTCCTCTGGCATTTATGGACAGGAAACATGAATTACACACAATAATTCACTACAAATAAAAGAGATGAATGCTGCAACAGCCCATTTATCTTCGATCATGTGCCTTCTTGAGGTTTATGTGCTGGTTAACTTGTGGGGAGCATTAATAGTTTTTTTTTCTTTGTTTTCTAACTCTTCGCTATTTTGGTTTGCAGAAACTGAGACAGGAAGATATTGAGTTTCACTTAAGTTTACCTGCAACTCCAAACACTTGCATGTTCCTTAAAATCACTCCAGAAACAGAGAAAACAGAACAGAGGCAATAGGATAGTCTAGTAGCAGTCACTGTCTATGCGCAAAGCCATTCTTTTTCAGGAAATAAATATGTTTTTAAATCAAAGCCAAATGAATGCACAGTGGTGAGTGTGCAACACACTCTAGCCAGGCATATTTTCTTGTGAGTTGGTTTATGAATTGTAAATGTTTACAGTACAACAGGTTACTATGACTGAGCCTGCAGATGCAGAATGGGTAAGTACTGTCTGGAAAAGAGAGTTGCCTCCTGTGCCACTGTGTTTCAGTTCTTCCTGTGAGAGACCTGAGCTAAGGGTAAAGATGGAAGTTCTTCCAGTTAGTCCCTCAGTCAGCTCCAAGAGCCTACAGATAGACACCTTTTCCAAAGGCCACCCAAAATGGACTGAAGTCTGGGCATCAGGCCTGTTTTATGGAAACTGAATTTCTGTTGTCTTGGGTTTTGAAAGCAATGTTGCATATTGACATGAATTCAACTGCTTCCAAAAGGAAGGGGAACCCAGGAGACGGCAGGCAGCAGCTGTACATCAGCCCTGCTCAGACCTGTGCTCACATCTGCCCTGGGGCCCTGGGCAGGAGAACTGCACAAGCAGGAAATCAGCAAAAATTTCTGCATGGTGTTTTTGTTCTGGCAGTCCCTCATTCCTCCTTGCAGCTGAGACAAAGAATCTGGGTTTGGTTCGGGGGGGGGGGCTTTTAATTAGATTCCATGATTTTATAGAAGGGAACATGTTGGCATCCTCACAAAGGTGCATCATGTGAACTCAGCTAGGCGG